CATGTGATTACATGCTAATTAGGAAAATTACTTTTCCTATGTTGCTTTGGTTAGCATTAGTTTGTGTTTCTTGCATGTATGTAGATCAGAATATAAGAAGAAAGCCCACAGTATTCTAAGTATTAGACACTATACCTGATTTGAGATGATAAACTCCATCCCTGGGTTTTAAGATCTGCCATGCATACCAGCTTGCTGGACTCCGGAGTTGAGAATGTGGTGCTGGGAATGTGGGGGTGGGCGGGACTAAGGCAGATAACGGACCTCATTCACCATTGTCCATTGTAAGAGCTGCTGTGTTTGTTTTGTTAATCTTGATAACACCCCCAAGATGTTGACACTCCCAAGAGCTGAACCAGAGGGAACAATGCCTTGGGTGAAATGGTTTGTTACAGTGTATCCCAGGACACAGGGTAGCTGAAACATTCTGCAGATGTTTTCTGGAATAACAGCACCCAAACTCAGCAGAGCAGGGGTCTGCCACAGACACAGGGGAGGAGTAAGGAAATATTTACGTAAGGGAAGGCACTCAGATTGTCCTTTTTCGATTTTACGGTCAACCAGATTTGATCAGGGACCTGAATTCATACAGACAGCCTGTTTGGAGTAATCCCATATTGCTGTGTAATAGATAACCACAAACATAGTTTAAAACGAAACAAATTTATCAGCTTCCAGTTTGTAGGGCAGAAGTCTAGGCAAGGTGTGACTGGGTTGTCTGCCCAGTGTTCCATGAGGTTGAGCTGCGTTTTTTTCTGGAGGCACTGGAGAAGGATCTATGTGAGGGCCCTTCAGGTCACTGCCAGAGTTCAGGCTCCTGGTGATTGTAGTGTGGAGGCCCCTTTTCTTTCACCTGCTGTCAGCCCAGAGCTGCTCTTATCAGCCCTTGACCTCTTGATCCATCTGCTTTGACCTCCCAAAGTGCTGGGATTACAGGCGTGGGCACTGTGCCCGGCCTAACCCAGAAGTCTTAAGTCCAAAGTCTCATCTGACACAAGGCAAGTCTCTTTGACCTAGGAGCACATAAAGTCAAAAGCAAGTTAGTTACTTACAAGATACAATGAGAGTACAGGCATTGGATAAATGTTCCCATTTCAAATGGGAGAAATTGGCCAAAACAAAGGGTGTACAGGCCCCAAGCAAGTCTGAAATCCAGCAGGGCAGTCATTAAATCTTAAAGCTCCAAAATAATCTCCTTTTACTTCGTGTCTTACATCCAGTTCATACCGAGGCAAGGGGTGGCTCCCACGGCCTTGGGCAAGCTCTTTCACAGGTTGGCATTGAGTGCCTGCATCTTTTTCAGGTGCATGGTGCAAGCTGTCAGTGGACCTACCATTCTGGGCTCTGGAGGGCGGTGGCCTCTTCTCACAGCTCCACTAGGCAGTGCCCCAGTGGGGACTCTGTGTGGGGGCTCCGACCCTATATTTACTGTTTGCACTGCCCTAATAGAGATCTCCATGAGGGCTCTGTCCCTGCAGCAGACCTCTGCCGGGACATCCAGGCATTTTCATACATCCTGTGAGATCTAGGCCAAGGTTTCCAAACCTCAATTCTTGACTTCCGTGCACCCACAAGCCTACCACCACGTGGAAGCCGCCAAAGCTTGCTGCTTGCACCCCCTGAAGTAATAGCCCGAGCTGTACCTTGGCCCCTTGTAGCCACAGCTGTAGTTAAGAGTGGCTGGAATGCAGGGTGCCGTGTCCCAAGGCTGCACAGAGCAGCTGGGCCCTGGGCTTGGCCCACAAAACAATTTTTCTTCCTAGGTCTCTGGGCCTGTGATGGGAGGGGCTGCTGCCAAAATCTCTGACATGCCCTGGAGACATTTTCCCCATTATCTTGGCACTTAACATTCAACTCCTCATTATTTATGCAAATTTTTGCAGCTGGCTTGAATTTCTCCCCAGAAAATGGGTTGTTATTTTCTAGTGTATCATCAGGCTACAGAATTTCCAAATTTTTATGCTGTGCTTCTCTTGTAAACATAAGCTCCAATCTCAAACCATCTCCTTGTGAACGCATAAAATTGAATGCTTTAACAATAATCCAGGTCATGTCTTGAATGCTTTGCTGCTTAGAAATTTCTTCCACCGGCCGGGCGCGGTGGCTCAAGCCTGTAATCCCAGCACTTTGGGAGGCCGAGATGGGTGGATCACGAGGTCAGGAGATCGAGACCATCCTGGCTAACACGGTGAAACCCCGTCTCTACTAAAAAAATACAAAAAACTAGCCGGGCGAGGTGGCGGGCGCCTGTAGTCCCAGCTACTCGGGGGGCTGAGGCAGGAGAATGGCGTGAACCCGGGAGGCGGAGCTTGCAGTGAGCTGAGATCTGGCCACTGCACTCCAGCCTGGGCGACAGAGCGAGACTCTGTCTCAAAAAAAAAAAAAAAAGAAATTTCTTCCACCAGATAGCCTTAATTATCTCTCTCAAGTTCAAAGTTCCACAGATCTCTAGGGGAGGGGCAAAATGCTACCAGTCTCTTTGCTAAAGCATAGCATGAGTGAGCTTTACTCCAGTTCCCAATAAGTTCCTCGTCTCCATCTGAGACCACCTCAGTCTGGACTTCATTGTTCACATCACTATCAGCATTTTGGTTGAAACCATTCAACAAATCTCTAGGAGGTTCCAAACCTTCCCACATCTTCCTGTCTTTTTCTGAGCCCTCCAGACTGTTCCAACCTCTGCCCATTACCCAGTTCCAAAGTCCCTTCCATGTTTTCAAGTATCTTTATATCAATACCCCACTCTCTCCAGTACCAATTTACTGCATTAGTCACTGTTCACACTGCTATAAAGAAATACCTGAGGCCGGGTGCAGTGGTTCACACCTGTAATTCCAGCACTTTGGGAGGCCGAGGCAGGCAGATCACTTGAGGTAGGAGTTTGAGACCAGCCTGACCAACATTGCAAAACCCCGTCTCTACTAAAAATACAAAAAATTAGCTGGGCATAGTGGCGCGCACCTGTAATCCCAGCTACTTGGGAGGTCGATGCATAGTAATTGCTTGAAGCCAGGAGGCATAGGTTGCAGTGAACTGAGATCGTACCACTGCCCTCCAGCCTGGAGAAGAAAGTGAGACTCCGTCTCAAAAAACAAAACAAAACAAAACAACAACAAACCCTGAGACTGGGTAATTTATAAACAAAGGAGGTTTAATAAGCCCACAGTTCTGCATGGCTGGGAGGCCTCAGGAAACTTACAATCATGGTGGAAGGGGAAGCAGGCTGCTTCACAAGGCGGAGAGTATGAGCATGTGAAGGAGGAACTGTCAGATCCTTATACAACATCAGATCTAGTGAGAACTACTCACTATCACGACAACAGCATGGGGGAGACTGTCCCCATGACCCAATGACTTCCCTCCCCTGACATGTGAGGATTACAATTTGATATGAGATTTGGGTGGGGACACAGAGCTAAACCATATCACATGCCTTGAGGAAAGGTTAAACCACTGGAAAGTGTTTATAGCTGGGAGATTTGGGGTTCTTGCTTGAATGACCAGGTGAAAGTTGATTATGTTAGTGTTCTTGCCTTCTATATTACTGACTCAGGCCTACCTTGAAGGGTCACTGGTCACTTAAGTTATAAAATTATTTCACATCCTTTTATATGTTTCATGTCAATATTGGGTTAATATTTCTATCGCAAATTTTCAGATGAGAAGGTTAACTGATTAGGTTGTGTGGCCAGTAAACACTAAAGAGCCAAGACTAAACACTTTGTAATGTATCATGATGGCTACATATTTACTTTTTTCTCCCAACTTTTTTTTTTTTTTGGGGGGATGGAGTCTCGCTCTGTCGCCTAGGGTGGAGTGCAGTGGCGCCATCTCGGCCCACTACAACCTCTGCCTCCTGGGTTCAAGTGATTGTCCTGCCTCAGCCTCCCGAGTAGCTGGGACTATAGGCGCCTGCCACCATGCCCGGCTAATTTTTGTATTTTTAGTAGAGATGGGGTTTCACCATATTGGCCAGGCTGGTCTTGAACTCCTGACCTCAGGTGATCCGCCTGCCTCGGCCTCCCAAAGTGCTGGGATTACAGGCGTGAGCCACCGCGTCCGGCCCTGTTCCCAACTTTTTACTGTGGTAAAATACACATAAAATTTATCATTTTGTGTATACATATAATTTGTAAGTGTCCAGTTGAGTGGTATTAAATATATTCACGCTGTACATCCATCACCACCATCCATCTCCAGATCTCTTTCATCTTGTAAAATGGAAAGTCTATACCCGTTAACCACTAAGCCCCCACGCCCTCTGCCCCGCCCTGAGAGCACCACTCTTCTTGTCTCCATGAACCTGACTGCGCTAGGCACCTCATATGAGTGGAACCGTACAGCATTTGCCTGTTTGTAACTGACTTATTCCACTTAGCGTATGTGCTCAAGGTTCATCCATGTTATAGCATGTGTCGGAATTTCTTTTTAAGGGTGAATAGTATTCCACCATTACATACTTTTAACAAACATGCCTTGAGAACTTACTGTGTGCCAGGCACTGAGCTGAGTGACAGCATGTTGAAATGAGTCATATATGGTCACAGTCATGCAGGGACTCCAAGTCCTTAGCAATTGCACTGCAATTTGTAAGTCAGCTGCAGAAGTTTAAACACAGGGATGTGGAAACATCTAGATGGAGCAGCAGACTCCACTGGAGTTAGCAGAAGGACAACCTGAGAAGCTAATCTTGGAAGGTGAACAGCTGTTTGTGACTGACGAATGGGCGATGCGGGGGGAGGGGGGAAGGTCGTTCCAGCAAAGGGAACAGCACATGCAAAGGTGTGGCACTAAGGGCCTGACTGCCCAGGTAGGGGGGAGCAGTGCAGCAGATTGGAGGGGCAAGGAGGCTAGCTGTACAGACGGCCGGGGCACCAGCCCAAGTCTGTCAATGCAGCATGACTCCATCCACTTGGAGGGGGGATGTGAGCAGCTGTTTATACCCATTTCCTCTCTCGGTCGCTTTTCAAACCCTAACCCCAGTTATTCTGTTTCCTCAGCTGAACTAGATGCAGAGCACGCCCAGAAGGTCCTGGAAATGGAGCACACCCAGCAAATGAAGCTGAAGGAGCGGCAGAAGTTTTTTGAGGAAGCCTTCCAGCAGGACATGGAGCAGTACCTGTCCACCGGCTACCTGCAGATCGCGGAGCGGCGAGGCGAGTTGGGGCCGGGGCTGCTGGAGCAGGGACTCACTGGCTGTGCGGGGTGGCGATGGGCTGCTCTCCCGGAGCAGGACATGGGGCAGAGTCCTCAGAAGTCCCGTTCTGTTATTAGACTCCAGCAACCAAAATGTGTGCATCGGGCCACCTATCTCTTGCCCTGATTTTGCCTCTTCTATCAGTCTAGGCTTTAGTTGAAGATATTTTTTTTAATACCTCTCAAGATTACAGATACAGCCAGGCGTGGTGGCTCACGCCTGTAATCCCAGCACTTTGGCAGGCCAAGGCAGGCAGATCACCCGAGGTCAGAAGTTTGAGACCAGCCTGGCCATCATGGTAAAATCCCATCTCTACTAAAATACCAAAAGTGGCCAGGCGTGGTGGCGCATGTCTGTAATCCCAGCTACTCAGGAGGCTGAAGCACGGGAATCGCTGGAACCTGGGAGGCAGAGGTTTCCGTGAGCCGAGATCGCGCCATCGCTCTCCAGCCTGGGTGGCAGAGTGAGACTGTCTCAAAAAAACAAAGATTACAAACACAAATTAGGCTTCTAGAAATTACCAAAATGGACAAAAGGAAAATTGCCCTTAATTCTCCAGGACAGAATAATCCCTGTTACTGCTTTTCATGCGTTCTTTCTAGTCTCTGTCGAGTCTGCTTATTTAATTGCGATCTGACTGGACCGTACACGTATATGGCTTTGTCTCTAACTTTTCTTCATGTTATATAGGACTCTTTCCCCCTGTTGTTAAAAATACTTTGAGAGGTTGTGTGTCAAAGGCTGCATCTTTTTGTCATGATGTATCCTAATATATTCCACCAGTTTTCCTAGCTGAACATTTAAAATCTTTCCCTCGGTAAATAGTGCTGTAAGGAACAAGCCGATTAGACGTCCAGACACCAAACTCCTTCCCAGCTTTTCCTTTGGAAGAACCCAGTGACTCAGAGGTGCAGCAGAGGTGAGCAGGGCAGTGGCGCCGGGCAGTTCACATTTTCTCACCAGCCTGCGCCGCACAGGCAAGACCAGACCCCAGGCAGCGGGGAGACCCGTCCAAACCTTCCCCTGTTTTCCTGCCCTCCCATTCTCCTGAATTTCTCATCACCTCCTGGACACCTCCCTCACCTCTCAAATCTCAGCCTTCATCCTCTCCCCAGGCTTGCCTGGCCCTGGCCTTTGTTCTCTCTATCCTGCCCCCAACCACATCCTCTAGGAGTGTTTCTTCCTTGTCATCCAGTTCTATGTCCCCTTCGAGGAGAAGTTAAAGAAATCCAAGAATGAAGCCGGGCGCGGTGGCGCACGCCTGTAATCTCAGCACTTGGGGAGACCAAGGTGGGTGGATCGTAAGGTCAAGAGATGGAGACCAGCCTGGCCAACATGATGAAACCTCGTCTCTACTAAAGGTGCAAAAATTAGCCAGGCGTGGTGACACGCGCTTGTAATCCCAGCTACTCAAGAGGCTAAGGCAGGAGAATCGCTTGAACCCGGGAGGCAGAGGTTGCAGTGAGCTGAGATCGCGCCACTGCACTCCAGCCTGGCGACAGCGAGACTCCATCTCAAAAAATAAATAAATAAATAAAAAGAAATCCAAGAATGAGGAAAGAAAATAATGTTGAGAAAAACAGATGAACAGCAGTAGCTGAAGACCTCATAGTGTGCTGGTGAACGCAGTCAGTTGTGAGGAAGATGCTTGTTTACCTTCCAACGCACAGGGTAGGTTTGAAGCTTAACAAGTTCTCTAGAGTCAGCCTTTGCCGTTCTTGTAACCCGTGACCCTGCCTTTGTCCTCCGTGCGTTCCTCCGAGTGGACGTACAGGATTCTCTTAGTTCCGTGTTGGCTGCGAGTTGGAGAGAGTGGCTTTCCGTGGCTCCTTTGGGAGGAAGCAGAAGGTTTGCTCCAGGGATTTTTATCCCGTTATGGGTAGAAGCAGAGAAGGACACTGTTTTAGCCCCGCTGCCATAACGAAACCATGTGGACTGGGTGGCTTGAACAGTCGACATTTCTTTTCCCTCAGTTCTGGAGGCCTCAGATCCAAGATCAGGGTGCCGGTGTGATCGGTGTCTGATGAGGGCTGTCTTCCTGGCTCGTAGGCGGCCCCCTTCTCCCTACGTGTGCACGTGGCCAACAGCAGGGTGGAGCCCTCTGCTGTCTCTTGGTATTAGGGCTAATCTCGACCACAGGAGCCATGTCCACCTGACCTCGTCTAACCTAATCACCTCCCAGCGGTCCCAACTCCAGGTATCCTCATCTTGGGGGTTAGGGCTTCAACATACAAATTTTAGGAGGACACATTCAATCCATACAGATACACCCTGGCTGACCCGCAAATTTGAACATAATGACACGTTGCAGCGATGTCTCATGTCATAGAAGAGATGCACTGATGGACAGCCACAGAAACTCTGATTGGTGAACAACTGAACTCTATCTTCCTTCAGTTTAGCACTTGCTGGTGAGCCCAGAGGAAGCACAGAGAAATGAAAGTACCTCTCAGGAAGCTCCCGTTATAGGGAGAGCCACGGACACACGGCTGATGATGATGTAGTAGGTGCGCGGCCGGCTTGGAAGGAGCAGCTTCTGTTGATGACCAGCCCCTGGTGACAGGGACAGGCATGCACTGCACCTCCTCCACAGCTAGCAAGGCACCGGGCTGGCAGAGGGAAGCGTCTAGCAGCTACTTGCCGCAAATACCTGCAAGGAAATACGAAGTGGTTAAATTTTCGTGGTTTTGAGTATCTCAAAGATTAAGTTTCAAGAAAATGTTGGGCTCATGTTTTTAAGGTAAAAATCAGGCACATCTTGTCAATATATGGTTTTGAAAGCTTTGAAGAAGAAAATTGGAGGCTCTGGGCTTTTTAGCTTTCTCTTCAGCTAGAGCTGAGGGACAGCCACACAAGGGAATCGGACATCCCATTGCACGGCTGTGCAGAGCCGGCTCAGACTTCCCAGCCTGACGAGCCACAGCACCTTTCTTAGGGAGGAAGCTTCATCTCCACGGATTAGTATTAATTTAGGAGAATCAATCAAAAATTTAAAAACTCTGCAGCAAACGTGGTGTTTTGGACTCATTCCACTAAATCAGAAATAGCAGTTGGAATTTCCCTTTCAGAAGCATCGTTTCTTAATTAAGACAAGGCCATGGCAAGTTTTATCCAGAGAATCATCAGAGGAAGGGGTGAAGGCACTTCTGTGCCACTTGGATGGTGCTGAGGCCGGATGGCCCCCCAAGCACAGAGGCTGTCAGGCTTGAGGACTGAAGGCGGTGCCGGGAGGGCTGAGCAGCAGAGGGGGTCTGGGTGCCACCACAGGCCCCGCAGAGCTCTCCGTGCCATTAGGACATCATTAGGTGTTTTGTAAGACCCTAGCCCAGGTTTGATCTTCTGCCTGACATGACTGCCATTTTCTTAGAAAAGCATTTTTATTGCTTTCATTTTATTGCTGAATGTCAGGGTATCCTGCAGTTACTTATTAATAAATCACCTCGGAGATGTCCTGGTCTGTGCCTGGGTTTTCTGGCTCTGTATTCCCATAGATTTCAGGCTCTTGTGTCTCTGAACCAGTAGTTCAGCAAAATGGCATCCTATGCAGCCAGGGGTGCGCCTGCTTCCAGAAGGATTGACTCAGTTCTGGGATGCTCCAGAGTGGACCCAGTGCCCTGGGAAGAGAACGAGGTTTGGGGCTAGTGATAAAATTACAATAAAGTTAGAAAAGATAGAATTGACAGGCAAAAGTGCACCTAAGTGCTGTGATTTTGAGAATCATCCATACTGATACATTCACCTCTAATTTGATTTCTATTCTTAAATAGTTATTTCCATTGAATAAATGTAATTTGTTCATTGTTGTATTGATGGGTATTTGTTTCCAGTTTTCTTCTTTCATAAAAACAATGCCAGCACGGACTTTTTTTTCTTAGGACGGAGTCTCGCTCTGTCACCCAGGCTGGAGTGCAGTGGCATAATCATAACTCATTGCAGTCTGGCACTCCTGGGCTCAAGTGGTCCTACCACCTCAGACTCCCGAGTGAGTAGCTGGGACTACAGGTGTGCACCACCATGCCTGGCTAATTTTTTAATTTTTTAGAGAGATAGGGTCTCACTATGTGGCCCAGGCTGGTCTTGACCCTCCTGGGCCCAAGTGATCCTCCCACCTGGGCCTCCCAAAGTGCTGGGATTACAGGCGTGAGCCACCACACCTGGCCTTGGACATTCTTATAATTTGTCTGTCTGTACACATCCGTAAGTTGCTTTAAGACCAGCTGTTCTCAGACTTGAGCAGCCTCACAGACCCCTGGAGGGTCTGTGGTTCCAACATGGATTCCTGGGCCCACTGCAGGGTTTGTGACTGTGCAGGTGTGGGTGGGGCCTGAGGATTTGCATTATAACCAAGTTCCCAGGTGATGCTGAGGGGGACCACACTTTGGGAATCACTTCTTTAGGGTATATAACTAGGAGAGGAATTACTGGTCATAATGACACGGCTATCTTTCATTTTACTAGATTCTGTCCAATTCCTTGCCAAACATTTGCACGAGTTTATAGTCTCCCCAGCCACGTATGCACGTTCTGATTACATCTTTACTGGCACTTGGTAGCGTCAGATTTTTTAATTTTTGCTCATCTGTTGGAATGAAACGACACCATTCGGGAGTCTTCAAGCCTCTCTTTGGCTGCGTTCTTCTGCTGCCGGTCCCTGAGCCAAAACTACACTGTTGTACACTTAAAGTCATCTCAAGTGTTGGTTCTCAGCTGGAGACACTTTTGCCCCCGAGGGGACATTTGGCAATGTCTGGAGACCCATTTTGCTTGTTATGCCTGGGGTAAGGGTGTGCTACTGGCATCTAGTCAGCAGAGGCCAGGGACGCAGTTAAGCATCCCACACTACCCAGGACAACCCCACCACCGAGAACAATCTGGTGCAAAGTGTCAGGAGTGCTGGGACTGAGCAAACGTTTTCTAGTGAAGCCTGAGTCTGCTGGAGCCATTACCACTCCGCCCTGCGTGTCCGCACGCATTTCCCGCCCTGCCCTGCGTGTCTGCACGCATTTATTTTCTTCATAGTTGCCATGACTCTTCTTGGGGTCTTGTCCTTTGGTATAAATGTCACAGTTTCAAGTTTGTTGAAGAACCTTGTCTACAATTTGAGCAGAATTGCAGTAAGTTTCTGGATGGAGACACAATGGGCCTCTTAGTGGTATTGGATCTTTCTGCAAGCGCACGTGTCTCATGCATTCCTGAATGGCGGGTAGAACTTGCCTCCGATGCTGAGACCAGTGACTTTACCTATTCTTTTTTTCTGATGGTTATAGAGATTTCCTATTTCTCGTTAATTTTGGCAAGTTTTCCATGGACTTGTCTTTAGTTGTCCGCTGTGTCAGCATAACGTTGCCCATGGTGCGCGTCTCCCCCTCAACTGTGTTCCTGGGTAGGTTTGCTTTTGCATTCTTAAAATTGTTCATGTGCCTTTTATTCCTTTCATCTCTACTTACGACGAGTCTTACCCCAGAACCTAACCAGCTTCTTTGTTCTTTCTGCTGTTTCATTAACTTCTCTTCAGTTTTGCTTTCTTTGGGCATTTGTTTTTTTCTAACCCAAGCTGATGAATGGCTTGATTTTCAGCGTTCCTCTCTGGTAAGGCATTCAAAGCTATGGATTTCTTGCAGGGGGACCGTTTTAGTTGAATCCTACAAATTTTGGCACTAATAATTCCTGGGTAAATTTTATCATTAGCATTTCATATTTGATTTGTGAACTGTTTATAAATGTTTTTTTAAATAATTAGATATGTGAAAGTTTTCCTAGCAGTTACCAATTTCTAACTAAATTTCATTTGTGATTGGAGAATAGGATTTCGATTTCTCTTACTAACTTTGGGACTGCTGATGTCAGCCATCGAATAGGTATAGTGACATGCGCCCAGGATCACGGATATCATGTTTTCATTGCCATTATGCCATTTTTTAACTTTAAAAACGTAACCCAAAATAGAAGTTTTAGATTATCTTCCTGGTGAATTGAACCATTTAAAAGTCACTAAGTACTACTCTTTATCCCAGTATTACTTTTGTTTCCCATTAAAATCTATTTTGATATTAATATAGCTATATCAGCTTTCTTCTTTGTTTGCTCATTATATCTTTTCATTTTTTAAGAAACATTTTCATGTTTCTGTGTCTCCATATTTGTCTCCTGTGAACAGAAGGTAGCTGGATTTTACTTCAGTTCAGTCGTATAATCTCTGAACTGGCAAGTTTGGCTCACTGACATTTCCTGTGATCACTGACACACTCATTACCATCTTATTTGGTGCTACAGAATTTTCCTGAAAGCTTTTCCTATGCTTCTTAGTCCAATTTTTTCTCTCCTGTTTTAAGTTATACTCCTGCCCTTTTCAAGAAGATGGCACAGACAAATTTTCAAAACTGAAGTCAGAAGCCAAAATCTAAAAGACAGGCCTTGGCAAAAGGCTTCCATAGGTCAGAAAGGAAACCCTCAGAAGTGTGCCCCCAAAAAGAACAAGCCTGACCAGGGTGCCATCAAATTCCCCTGACCACTCAGCCCTGAAGATCAAGCCCAGTGAACTGCTGTCCCCGTGTGGCTGAGCTCAACCCTGGCCAAGTCCAAGGCAGAGCAGGCTGGCTCAGTCGGTGGGGATGCTGCTGCCAAGCATGGGACCATCTAAACCGTAACACTTTTCCCCAACTGAAAACAGGAATTACTTACCTCTCATTTGAGTGCTGAACTTCAGTGATCTTCTGAGCCTGAAGATAGTGAGACTCACTTTCCTCCCAGAGGAAGCCGTAATCTCATGTCCTGTGGCTCTGAGCACCCTCCTCTCCGCCCCGTGTCTTTGTTCAGGAGGGTGATTTGGCCCTGGTGACTCCTTGTTATGACTGTTCCATTCCAGGTTTTACATTAACTCACACACTCACACGTCTCTTTGCTTAACATGCTTTCTTGCACTCAGTCCTTCCTTCGATGTGCCTCCAGCGAGAGCAGGCTCGTGATGACGTGTTTCTTCTTGGTCTCTGCTTCTCCTCTCCTGGAGCTTAAATGATACCTAATGTTACACCATTTTAGAGATGACATTTCTCTCTCCTCTTTGAACTTACTCCACAGTCTTCTGGCTTTTATTATTGTTGTTCAGAAGTTGCCTGTCATCCTAATTATTTCCTTCTCTTTCTTAACCTGCCCTCTCTCTCTGGCTGCTTTTTAGAGAGCCTTTGTCTTTGATGTTCTTCAACTTCAAAGCAATTGATGTAGGTGAGGATTGCTTTGATCTCGCTTGGAATGTTTTGCTTTTTAAATCTGGGTCCTGAGGTCTTTCATCGATTTGGGAAAATCATCAGCTTCTTTGAATAGAGTTCTCTTCCCTTCTTGGCTCTGGGGAAACGTGACCAGATGCTACGCTTCTGTGTCTCACATACCTCTTATGCTCGCTCGCATTTCCCTTTGTTCCTCTATGCTGCATTGCAGATTTACTCATCCTGCCATCTAGTTTATTTATTTTCTGTGGGGCTGTGACTGTGCCCCAAGTTTGAGATTTCAGTCTCTTCTACCTAGTCATTATTTGGCTCTCTTTCAAATGTCTGTCCTTATTTTTGACACCTTGTTTTTGACTCTACCTTTCCTATGACTGCAGTGTGTGAACAGCCATCTCAAGTTCTTTAGCAAGGATACTGTTTGTTTCTGCTGCCCCTCACTCGGAGTGGCTCATTTCATGTGTGTCACAAATGCCAGATTGGGTTGGGACTGACTTTGTATAAACCAAGGTTAAGGGAGGGTCATTCCAGAAAAAAATTTGCATTTGCTTCTGCCAGGCATCCCCACGGCTCGGATAACTTATGTGGCTTGTGGTTTTCTGGACCACAGAGGTAGTTTGCCTCTGAGGAAAGACCTGTGAGGCGTCCCGTGCTCAGGGCTGGGCTGAGGCTGGCCAGGCTGGGGTCGCCGTCTGCTGGTGGGCTGGGTTTTGTTCTCTCCTGGTCTGTGCTTCCACTGCAGGGAGCTCTGGCAGCTTACAGATGTTCAAACCCCTTCAGCCATTAGGCCTGAGAAATGTTCCAAGGGCAGTGGAAACTCCACTTGCAATTAGAGGACTGTGCCCGCCTGGAAGGTTCAGGGCAACTGTAGGCGGGAAGCAGAGCCCTGGCTGGCGGGGAGGAAGGTCGCTAACTGTTGCTGCAGGAATGTTGGCCTCTGAGACAGGCGGATGATCCTACTCCAAATAGCCGGAAATCGCTTAATGCGGAGATTGGTCTTCAGCGTCCCAAAGGGCTGGGGATGAGCACATTAAGGAAAGTGTAAAAGGTATAACAGATGCCAAGGGTGATTTAGGATGACAAGTGCCAGACTGGCATATGTCATCTACTAATATGTTGCTTCAAATTCCGTTTTGAAGGAAGCTTAGAAAATGCAATATAGTTAGCCTATTGCCGATGGAAGATCACCTGTTAAAGTAATATTGAAGATGTGTCCTTCCTCGTGTCGCTGATCTCTCCGCAGAGCCCATAGGCAGCATGTCGTCCATGGAAGTGAACGTGGACATGCTGGAGCAGATGGACCTGATGGACATATCTGACCAGGAGGCCCTGGACGTCTTCCTGAACTCGGGAGAAGAGAACACTGTGCTGTCCCCCGCCTTAGGTAGGGTTGACAAACTTGCATCAGCTGAACCGGGGCTATACCGATGGCACTCCCCTCCAAAGGGAGAAGTGAGAAACCTGCCAGTCACTTACACACAAACCCCCAAGCGCACAGCCAGCTCCTGGCTCCCTACCCCACGGTTCCACACGGCTGCGTGGCAGCTGCAACAGTGGTGTGGTTCCGTCATGAATTCTTCTCAAAGATTTGACATGCTCCACTCCGGCAACTTTGGTGAGCTGAGAGCTTTCTTGTTTTCCCTCCTTTACCACCCAGAAATCCATTTGAGTCTGCTCCTTGTGATTAAGCACCGGCGTTTCCAGGGAGGTGCAGACTCTCCTGCGTGGCTCACACGGAACTCTTCCTCTTGATGCGGCAGGCGTTTAGGGGCATGCCTGCTATGGGGCAAAGCCATGGTGTATGTTCAGCTCTTGGCCTATGTTGTAAAACTTAGTTGGACTTCAGTTCCTTTCATCCCTTCCCAAAATTTTGTTTCACATTCATGCAGCAAATATTGACCGAGGTGCCAGACCTGTACCTGGGCTCGCTGCATTTCAAATTTCAGACCAGTTCTTCTGGCTGGGTCAAGGCAAAGCTCAGTCCTCCTGGCAGCACCTCAGCCATCTCTAGAAGGTTCTACCATTACCACGGTTTCTGCTTCCTCTAAACTTCTCCCCCACTTCTCCTGGCAATCTGTCAGAACGGTGTCATCCCAGGGAAGAGAAGGGGCTTGGGTGCATTTGCCCCCATCCTGAGAAGGCCGGAATACTAGAAACCAGAATGAACCCTCACCCAGAGTCAAGGCAAGATTTAGAAACAGTGACACCTGAATACAGAATTTTGATTCCTTGAAGAGCCTATTTAGTTCCATAAAATTGGAGACCTGCTGAAAGGTCAATAATTCCGACTGTCTCAGCAGTGGTGTCTCTGAATTACTGAAAAGGGTAAAAAGACAGACATCTAGATTATCAAGGTTACAGGGACTGCTCCTCCAAGATACGCAGCGCTTGCCCTCGGGCCTCTATTACACACTATTACATAGTCCTAGGAGCTCTTGATCTTTGTCACCGGTGGCTGACTCCTTAGGGGACGGAAGGGTCACCGCAGGGCCTGAGGCTGCCTCTGGCATCACTCAGCTCAGTGTCTTCCAGGGCAGGCCCCAGGTCCCTGGAACAAAAAGCACACACCCCTTTCATGACGGGCACATTCCACAGCTGTTGGCAGCAATTCTAATCCGCAATCTTTTTATGACAGGACTTTCTCTTCCCTACGTTATTTTGCAGGGCCTGAATCCAGTACCTGTCAGAATGAGATTACCCTCCAGGTTCCAAATCCCTCAGAATTACGAGCCAAGCCACCTTCCTCTTCCTCCACCTGCACCGACATGGCCACCCAGGACATCAGTGAGGGTGGGGAGTCCCCCGTGGTTCAGTCTGATGAGGAGGAAGTTCAGGTGGACACTGCCCTGGCCACGTCACACACTGACAGAGAGGCCACTCCGGATGGTAGTGACGACAGCGACTCTTAAATTGGGACGGGACGTGGGCGTTGTCTGGCCACACTGGAATCCGGTTTTGGCTGTATGCGGAATTCCACCTGGAAACCCAGGTTGTTTTATAGAGGGTCTTGGTTTTTACATAATTGCCAATAATGTGTGAGAAACTGAAAGAACAGCTAACAATAAAGCGTGAGGATGGTAAACTGAGAGCGCACGGAGCTAGTTTATACAAAAGGCTTCTAAATACACACGTCCTTAAGGTCGCTGTAACTCAGGGTTCCTTAGAGTGAAGGGACGCGCAGGTCACTGGGGGCTGCCCCAGGAGGTTTCATGTGGGCAGGTCTGGGCCAGGCAGGGGAGGCTCCCCAGGGCTCGGTTCCGCATGAGGCAGGGAATGACCTGCCATTTCACAAGTGGAAAAGGCCACTCCCTGGAGAAGAGCTGACTGTAGCCAAACCACTCTGGCAAAGCTTGGGGTTTTCCTTTGATCATTACAGAATTACCAGTCCAATGGCCAATCGGTCCAACCCCTACTTTCATACGCCTGGGCCCAAAAGAACAGAAACAAGCCCAAAGCAATCCTCTTCTTTATGAAAAGAAACTGGTCCCCTGGAGATATGTTCCTGCCATCACTCCTCCAGCCCAACGAGCGAGTGAGCGAGCTCCCCGCTGAGATGAGGGGGGCTGTCTGCAGCCATACCACCCGGAATGCACCCAGTGTCCGCTCATCCTGAAAGCTCGGGGGGCACAGTTCGATGGGAAATGAGGGGGACAGCCGCAGCCCACGAGCAGCTCTGGCCCAGCCTGCCGGGCCACGTGGAAACCATTAGGTTACGCTGAAGGGGACCCAGCGGCAGGTGGGAGCTGTGGGAGCAGGACTGCAGCGTGGGGGTGGCTCTGCTCCCTGGCTACAGGCGATTCTCTGCCCCCTGCCCGTGGATGAGAAAAGAAAGAGGTCATTCCATTCAGTCATCTTCCACAAGACAGACAAATGTCCAAAAAACTTTGTTTTTATTATTAAACCTTGTAGTACAAACCTGAAAAGTAAACAAAAAACTCGCAATAAACCACATGAAGTCTCCCTCCCAAGGGAGGGGTGCAGAGCAGCGCTAATAAATTAAATGTCAAACTGTAAGCCATAGGCAGAAGTTTACTGTCAAAAAGAGGGAAAGTACACAGCAAGGCCATAGAAACCGGACAACCACATTGGAAAACACTTGACTCTGTTTCTGTAATTGTTAAATATTCCAAAACAGTTCAGTCTTCTGCAACAACAACCAACAAAGTGGATCATAGGACGTTCCTGGCAGTCACCACTGGCAAGCTCAGTGCAATATGGGTAGCTACGGGATTGATGAATCCAATTATGAAACAAAGAACAGCTTGTGAAAACAGTTTCCCTTTTTTATTCCACACATACTGTACACACAACCGGAGAAGGGCAACAGCTACTCCATTATTATTTTTTTGTTGTTGTTCAGTGATGTAAGCAGCACTTATAAATGTTACAAGAAAAACCCTGTAAGCATCCAATCCAACCGATGAAGAAACTGAAATGTAAGGCTTTTCTTCATCTTGTCTTCTCACCCCCCTCCCCACCCCCCACCGAGAAAAAGGCTCAAGTATTTAAAACAATTTACAGGCATATGTACAAAAGGGATGGGATTTTTTTTTTCTTTTTTCCTTTTTGTTACAACATGAAGAGAAAAAATAGAGAAGATGAACGCAAATGCATTTTCACATTCAAAAATAACTGCAGGCCTCCTAGTGGCTCTCTACGTGATCATAAACGAAACAAATTTTTTAAAAGAAAGATTAATGCTGACTTGTGAAGGTGTCAAACAAGAAGCGGTGAGATGGAGATGGAATGTTAGAAAGATTGCACGTCGATGACAAAGAAGCACTTACGGCTTCCATCACTTTTTTCCGTTTTTTTTTTTTTT